TACAATGGAGTATCACTTCATTACGAGAATAAAGGAAATCTTGGCATTTGCAATATGATGAAATACTAGCTCATTGTTCATCATCTACTTTAGCATTTTCAATAATTTAAAGCACATACTCTCATAAAGCGCTCCTCTAATTTATGAACAAGTATTAACATTTTTTTTAAATATAAAATGAAAAATCTTTCTTCATGGAACTCATACCAGACATTGATACTCCTTTTCTTCTCCAGCAGCACAGAATACATCTAGTTCTTCTTGTACCTGACAGCTCTACAACTTCCCAAGGGCATGTATCAAATCCCCTGGAGTATTTTCTTTTCAAGGTCAAACATTCTTAGTGCTGTCTGCTGATGTGTACATTCTATGATATTAAAAAATAAGGCAAGCGACGTTCACACAGAGTTCTCACAAAGTGTGGCAATGCAGAATATAAGGAAACCATTGTCTGCAGTACATCTCAGTCATGTAATTTTACTATGGGCATTCACAGTATCATAAAATAGGTAATGTGTGTTGTTTAATCTTAATACTTGTCTATTTCCCTAACGCATTTTCCTTTCTTAAGTTTATTAGCATCTGTTATGTTCCTTGGTCTACTAAGTTCATATCAGCACTCATCTTAACCCCTAAATAAATAAATAAATAAACACACAAATGAGTGAATAAATAAATAAATAAGTAAAGCAGCACAACTTTCTGTTGGCAAATATTTTTTTTTTTTTGTCCATGAAGGAAAAAGACAAGTTATCTCTTACTAACACCAACTGAGGTACATGGATCCTGTAAGACTTAACCTTGAATTAATAACAAAAGCATTTTCAAACCATAAAGCATTGGCATTTATACAGTACTACAAAGCATAGCTTAAAATACAAAGTCAGATGAATGTTTTAATTTTAATATGGGCCTTCAAAAAGCCAACACAGTTTTCAAGTCCTGAATGAATCATTGTCATCAGGATGTGGCAGGAGGTTTCAGGTGGGACACAGGCTTGAAGATGATGATCGATGAATGAAAGGTGAGAGTGAACTTTAAAAAGAAAAAATCCTGGGCAAGTGTCAGTTCTCTCAGCAGCCTTTATCAGAGTTACCTAAACAGGTGGCAGATTGGACTCTCACAGAACGGAGTAGCACAGTTGTGGGTAAAGCGGGCGGCGGGGCGGGGAATAGCTTATGCATGAAACTGCTTTCTCACTTAACTATTTTCGTATGAATTCTATAAATATATGTTTAAATATAAAAATAAAACTTCTGAACACACATTATTTTTGACAATGAACACGATATTGTAAAAATGTTCTGAAGATAGTTATTGAGCATGGTTTCACAGCCTTGTGGATGCGCTTAGTGCAATTATATTGTACACTTAAAATGGTTAAAATGGTAATTTTATTATGTATATTTTACCACTGTGAAATTTTTAAAGTTCATAGATTTAAAAATTATGTTTAGACAAATGGTACCATAATACTTTCTCAACTAGGGCTCACATTTTTTAGAAAAATACAGTATATCACCACATGATACACATAATAGAAATATCTACTTATACAACTCAGATTAGTTTTTTAAACCATTTAGGAAAAATTTAAAGTAACTTTAAAAATAAGTAAAGGCATGGGGTAAATCATTCATAGTAATGTCTGTTTCTTGCCATGAAATAATTATATTATCAATTCTATGGATATATTTAGCATTCTAATTTCATGCACTGGTTAAAATATTGCAATGTCTATTGTTTGATGTTTTATAGATTTTGAATTTTTTTAAATTAGATTTTAAGTGTGAAATGAATGTAATATAATGGTATAACCTGCTAAGATATTAAATATGTAATAATGATAAATATTAAGTAAAAGTTTAAATGTTATTTAATGTTTTATAGATTTATCTATATTTGTGGGTTTTTAAAATATCATTTAATGACCATTTGAGGCTTATACATGAATGTGTTTGGTTTTTAACTCACAATAAATTATTTCACAATTAAACTAAACAATTGCCAAATTTGCCAATTTCAAAGAAACCCATTGTTTCTGGGCTTATTTCACAAAATGTATCAGCTTATAGTGTTTCTATATAAGCTTGATATAATCACTTATATTGAGATTCTAGGAATGTTTGTCAAACATCAGTATCAATAAATAAATCTTTTTTTTATTTTCTTGTTTCAAGAGAAAAATAAGTGGTTATATTCATCTCTTCATAAATATTTAAGCACCAGAAATTTTGATGAGGCTCTCCTTTAAAAATTGTTTTTAACTGCACTCTGTACTTAAATGTGGAAAACTTTAGATGACATTAGTTTTTCACGCATTTTATTTAATAAAAGTAAAGGGAATCATAAAAGGAAGCTATATGCGTGGAACAAATGAATACTACTTCTGAGAAATTGCAATTATCCTTGATTTTTTATTTACTTTTATTAACCACAAAGTGATAAATTTGACAAGAAGCCTTCTTAATGGTTTTTGTGCACAAAAAACTAGTTATTATTATATTAATGAAATGTTTCATCATCCATTCTTCTCCTCTCTAATGGTCTGAGGTATTGTTAGTGTCAAGACTTCTGTCTCCACTGAAAATCAATGTTGCAAAAAATCTATTTCATAGTTTATGCCTGAATTGTTTCACCTTTAGTTCAAATAATAAGCATTATATAACAAATATAAATACAGGATTATAAGTCATATTATGAATATAATACTTTTCTATAAAATAATACTTTCTAAAGGCATTAGAATTTATCTAACATTAATAATGAACAAGTAAGGTCAAGGGGAGAGCAAGTGTCTTGACTCATGTAACTGTTGCCTGTTTAGTATTAATCTGACTATAGCAATCATATTCTTTACCCATGCTTTCTGCTTAAATTCATGTTCATATCATTTTATCTTGTTTTTAAAGATAGATATTGGCTCCATTTATAGTTATTTCACCAATATTAAATCCTTTATCTTTCTGTTTCCACATTTAATATGAATACATAAATTTACCTTGTCTATAGAGTTAATCACTGCAAGCCAATAACTACACTCTAATACTGAACCGCCCTCTTCACCAGTTTCTACAGACCCTCTTTCTTTTATTCAGTCTCCTCTGTCTCTGAAATGTGCTTCTCAGAGCCTGAAGAAATCTGAGAAACATGTACTGTTCATGCTTCTATTCTTATTAGAGTAGCCATTATAGAACATTTGGAAAAGATAGGAAATTATATAAGAAAAAAAACACCATCCTGCTTTCAGCTGATAAAAAACATGTATAATATTTTAGATAATTTCTGTTAATTATTTGCTTATATAGGTATCCTATTGTCCAACATTCTTAATTCCTCTGGGACTTTGTACAATCATAAACTTCAGTGAACAAGTTCTCCAAAGCTTTCCTCAACATTTCCCTTTTTTTCTATAAATATATATGGTTTCCCCACAGTTCAACAACAACAGCAAAACTTCCTTAACACCAACATCGTCAAACATCTTATCTTCAGTGTTATACTTCTTGAAAATAACTTATATTGTAAGTTTAATTTCTCTAATCACACACTCTTAACATGACGCTCTGGCTTTTTATCTCTGGCCCTATTTCCAACTAAAAGAGCTTTTTCAAGGTGGAGAGGAACTCCTGGGTGGAGAGCAGGCTGACAGCTCATGGCTGGGGACGGGTGATGGTGATTGTGGGGGGCGGGGGTGGAAGGCAGTGGAAGAGGGTATAAGTGGGGTAAATAGTAATGAAAAAGTACAATAAGATATGAACCATTAAAAACATTAGAAAAAGAGCTTCTTTGTCTTGAAGCTCTTTGGATTCTCTTCAGCACTGATGCTCTCTTCTTAAAGGCTTGGTGCCATTCTTATGACAATCTGTTCTTTCTAAGATTTCCCAAGGAAAGTGACCCCCTGCCTTACTCCCTTAACTTTTTGATGACTTGTGTCCCTTGTGGGCTTGATGAGGGTAAGAAGTGAGGAGAGAATGGTGGGTTCAATTGACAGAAAGTCTGCAGGTTCTCTGTTTACACTTAATTGATTTTATGTTTCTAGGCAGCATTAATAGGTGGTTAATTGACTAACCTATATTTCATTGGTATTCCAGATTTTAGTACAGAATTTGAGCAAGTATAAATTTTGAAATGCTTAGCCTATTTACATGTATTGAATTCAATATGCAATATATTATAATGTTCTATATGAGAGTCAATAAAGTAACTGTCATTGTGGAGTTTCCACTTTAACTATGACGTGAAACACCTACTTTAATCACTGGTCAGAATGAATGGACCTCCTTAAAAACTTTCCAGCATGTATAAACAGATTCTCTGGAAACGGGGGCACCTCAATTCATTTAAAAGAGAATACAAAATCTTCCTGTGTATCTTCCTTCCCTTTCTAGACTTCCCATACATTCTTACATATGTGACTTTGAAAACTGAAATTTAAATGGTTTGACTTTACAATGATACTAGCTTTAAAAACGCAAACCAGAAGAATTAGGTATCTTGGTGTTTCTGGTTTGTTAATCCTCTCATTCCCTTTACTAGAAGAATAAGACTACATTAATCTAAATCCATCATCCATAATCCTTGATAAAGAAAGCAATAGAAGTTCCATGATCTTACCACATATTGATAAGACCCAAAACTCAACATTATTGGATCAACCAAGAAAACGTGAACTAAAAAGCTATTTTACCCAAAAGAATAAAAAAATAAATAAATAGCATGCCCATGCCGTTGAAAATGTAAAGTGAATCATACAGAGACTTCTAACTAACGAATATGGACTTGACAGACATATGTGAAAATATTTATATTTACACAAAGTTAAATTCAAAGGAAATAGTTCTGCAGCACCAAGGTAAGATCCTATCTTCCTTTGTTGAATTGCAGCACACAGAACCTTTACTGCAGCATTAGAATAGGCAACTTCCCATGCCAGGATTTAATTAAAGTTTAAATATTTGAAGGCATGATGATAATGCTGTCTCTAATAAAAAATTTACCTGTCTTGGGATCAATAGAGAAATAAGGTTGTCCCTGAAGAATGCTGTAAACGACTCTAGCACTGTTTCCATAGGTTGGGTCATCTGCATCCGTGGCCTGGACCTGGAGCACATATGCACCTGGAAAATAAGACAATATGACTCTAGCATCTTTATTTTACAGAGCTCAAGGTTATGTAATTTATCTGCTGGACTACCTTTTTTTATTTTTTAAATTTGGCATTAATTAATGATTCTGTGAGTATATAATGTCATTGAAAATAATTGAACCATTATAACCAAAATGTTAGACAACAATATAGTTAGTGCAAAAGATACACATTTTAAATATCTATTTTTAAAGCTGTTTTCATTTCCAGTATCTAGATAATTGAGCTCAAAGACTTCATGATAACTTTATTGATTTGTACACCAAAGAACACATGGCACTGCTTACATTAGCTCTTCTGCTTACTCCAGATGCTTTAATTTCATGATTAGGATATCAATAGAAAAGCTGAAACGTTTAAAGGCTTATTGAGCTTTCAAGGGTGTAATTTGTAATTGCAATTTAAAAATTAATAATTGCATACCAGAATTAGGAAGGCTTTAATTAGGATAATATTTGAGAAATTAAAGAACCGAAAATAATTGTAATTATAGCTATAAGCACCTCTATGTGTCCAGATTGAATTAACCCCAGGACTCATTGACATAGGAAAACATTAAAGACAATCCCAATTATCTGTAGCTTCTCATGTTTTTTGATACTTGGTCATATTATTTATGCACTAAGTGAAGTTGAAGGGAGTTTTTTTGTGTGTGTATTTTTGTCTTACATATATATTTTTCCCTGAATTTGGCTTTTATTTTTAAATATATTTAACATGTAACTAACAAAGAACAGGCAATAATAAAGCACAAAGAAATGAAATATTTTCAACTACCTTTAAAGCTGGATATAAATATTAATAAAATAGCATAGGCCCAATTATAGGAAATAGTCCCTAAAATTTGATTCATTGAACATATTTGAAAAACAAAAAAAGTTCTCTGCACATTTTCCAATGTACTGATATGCTCCCAAGTGCCTTGGTTCCCTTTTAACTAACAGATAAAGATCCTAAAAATAGTTGCTTTATTAAAATTATCAGAATCAGTATTGGTAAAAATTATCATGTCCTTAAATTCTCAATAATAATTATAAAAATACGAATTCAATTGACTATGCTGTCCAAAATAGAGATACCTTAAATGATGCTTCTGATAATCAGGTATTGCACTAAAGCCATTTCACACCTGACGTTTGTTTATATGGAAAGTTAATTCTCTTCTTTATGAAAACTTACTACAAATAAACTGAATGTTAATCTAATTATAATTACACTTTAAAATATCCATAGTCATAGTCAAGTCTTACTTTAATAGCTTTTTTGACTTTTTATTATGGAAGTAGTTATATAATCTTATGTTGGTTATTTTAGTGTACAGTGCAGTTATTAGACATTTTTATTCCTCATAATATGATCACTATAATATTCTAGTAATGATTTGTGACCATGTGAACTTATCACAGTATAATTCATCCCCTCCTTTCTAGTAACCATCCCTTTGGTCTCTGACTCTAAAAACTTTTTAGGTGAGTATCTCTTCTTAATGTCCTGTTCAAGGCTACTATTCTAAGTTGAGAACAAAGTACTCACAACTGTAAACCTACGTTTGCCCCACACTGTGTGTATCTATCATACATATTATCTTTTTAACAATTGCTTAAAATGTATGTGTGTATGTATAGACACACACACACACACACACACACACACACACACACACCCCCATCAAGCAAGTAATAGAGAAATTAATGATTTAGCAGTGTATTATCATGCCAAAGAAGGAATAGGCGTTAGGAGAAGCCCATATGACATAAACTGCAAGCTAAAAAAGGGTGTCACCAATACAATTAAATAATTCTGAGTGAGAGTTCACATGAGAAGCAATTTAAATATCATTTTTAGTATACATACAGGTATATGTTAAAACATATTTGAAAATTAATTCCATATAATAAATTCATTCATTGTATGATGAGATATTAATGTTTTGCCAACAACATTCATATCACCATAAAATTCTGAATAAAAAAATAACTTGTTAAGGGGGAAAATGTTACATAAATGAATTAAATTATTCAATATTCTTTTATACAATTTATATTGAAAATGCAAATAAAAGTCATAGTGTTTGCTTTAGTATTTCCAATTTAATACTTTATACACATATATCCTATATGGACAGTAAATACACATACACAGACACACAACAAGTGGTTTAACAGTTAGTTTCTAATGACTTCTCACAAAGTTATGAGCATTCACTCAGTTATTATTTTAACAAAACTTCACTGATTTTATTTTATCTTTTTTTATGGTCCACCAGGCACCCTGTACTGGGTGCTGGGGAAACACAATGAACAAAATAGACCCAAATCCTCAAGAATAATATCCTATGTGAAGGGGAATGGTAAAAGGAACGCATTTTAAGATAATAAATGCATACTTAGATATAAATGTAAGTACAAATACAGATATAGAAATAGAAACGAGCTAGAGATAGGAGCATGGACATAGATATAGATGATATTCCATTGCAATGACTACTAAGAAATAAAATACGGCAGTGTGAGAAAATAGAGTGGCAGCTGAGGAACTCTTTTGTATGGTGATCAGGAAAATCGACTTTGGAAAAATCTCATTTAGGTGGAGACTTACATGAAGTGAGTTTTTTTTTTTTTTTTTTTTGCTGTTTGGTTTTTGTTTATTTCATTTTATTATTTATTTTTTCAGTGAACACTCATTGCCACATGCAGAGGCAACTTGAAGTCCTGAGGCAAAAGCATTTTGGAAATGCTGAGGGGAACCTCAGGGAAATCAGAACTTTGCTTACTATGTATTGAAAGGGGAAGAGAGGTGGTGGAGAAGCCACTGTTTCTAAGGCACCATTAGCAATGTTTCAAATGTTAGCTATCCCTCCGACATATGTTTATCTTGTTATAACTACCTATATATCGATATATGTGTGTTTGTGTATGTGAATATCTGCCTATACATAGGTTAACATACTAATTTATATGTCAAATTTTACTTACATAAAAGAGATAAAAGTAGTCACACATTCTTGAACATTACTTATTAAATAATATATTGGGCAGGCATGTTATAAAAACACATAACCCTTATTAAAATAATGAATATTAGTAAAATAATATAAGCACATAATCATTATTTTTAACCAATCTTCTTTTAGTACACACTTTATTTAAAGATGTGAGAACTCTGAAGATAATTTTGTGTTTAGGGAATTTTCTTATTACAAACAATTTTACATTAGTTAAATCCCTACCATCGGGATGGCTGAGTCAAAGAACACATGACTCCAACAGGTTGATGTGTATTGTCAGGTTGACTTCCAAAGGACTCTTTATTTATTTTTATACCAGTCTGATACATTTTCCAGCATTCTCACTAGCTTTCATTGTTCTTATCTGTAATTTTTCATTTTATGAGTAAATTTAACACCTACATTTATATTACTTTTTTCTTGTGTGTGTATGCATGTAAACTGTATTGGTATTTTTAACCCATTTTACTTGTATAGTTTATATCTCTCTAGTTGTCTATCTATCTATTGAAAGTTGTTTATCCACTGACATTGATTTAATTTGTAGTCATTCTATTCATTTAACGGTCATTTTTTTATTTTTATTTTTTAAACATTACTTATTTATTTATTTATTTATAGACAGAGGGAAAGGGAAGGAGAAAGAGAGGGAGAGTAACGACAGTGTGTGGTTGCCTCTCACATGACACCTACTGGGACCTCACCCGCAACCCAGGCATGTGTCCTGCCTAGGAATGGAACTGGTGACCTTTTGGTTCGCAGGCTGGCACTCAGTCCACTGAGACACACCAGTCAGAGCTAATAGTCACTGTAAATGGTTTCCTTCATGTGTATATGTTTGCATACCCACCTTAAAAAGAGTATTCTTTAATTGTGTTGAGATCAGGTTGTTTTTATTATCTCTTCTTTCTAAATTCTATACAAGTGTGGGTATTCTGGAGCCCAGGCAGAAAGCGCTGATTTGCTTTTATAATGCCACCACACATCCCCAACTACTGCTAGCATTTTATGTGATAGTTATACTTTATTTATTTGATTTCATTAAGATTAATATTATCAAGTCAGAGAATGGATTTTAGAAATATTCTTATACAATGTCTAACTTTCACAATCAAAGTATTAAAGCACATTGATGTTAAAGTAGACATTAATTTGTTGATTTATTCATTCCTTTTTTTTGCCTTAAAGTTTCCGCACTCTTACTTAGATCCACTTAAACATATTCATGTCAAGTTGGACAGTGAGTACACTGTTCTTTACATCATCCAACACCTTGTATCGCCATCACTTCTGTAAAATTTATCATTTTCCTACCACAACTAGCATTCTAGCCTCACCAAAACTTTTTTTTGCTACTTGCTATTTGTCCATTTTCCATCTGCTTCCACTCTTGGGTTAATGTTCAATTACATGTAATTAACTGTCATATTTTTTTCACTTTTTTAAAGTTTCACTTTTAAAAATGTTCTGCTTCCTTAGCCAAAATATATAGGAGGAATACAAATGAAAGTAACAAGACATCTTGTCCAATGCTTTGAAAAATTACCCACCCTGTGTCCACCTGATTGATGCTCAGTTTCTACATCTTCCATGTCCATCGTTTGTTTTAAGAGCTTACTTACTACAGTTCTTTCTACCTATTTTCTATCTCATATGTAGCTAACAACAAATTATGGGATTTTTCTTCCAGCCAAAAAATTTTTTTTAAACAAACCAGTGCCAAAATATGCATTTCTTCTTTCAATAAACAAATGTTCTGTGGCACACACCATGCCCCAGCTACTATTCTCATAACATAAAATAATATGTTATACAATTATTTGCTCTGTCAAATGCCATGTTTAAGGTGACAGTTTTATATTCTAGATACTTTTTTGCATTTGGTATATTAAGTTAGCAAACTTGCTAGAAATACATAGGAAATATAAGTGGACTAAAATTAATCTATGGCCTCTATAAAATAT